GGGTAAAAGCACAGTACAGCGCAGTAGAGCCCAGTGAGATCGGGGTAAAAGCACAGTAAAGCCCAGTGAGATCAGGGTAAACGCATGCTAAAGTAATGAGTGATGTGAACCCTGAACCCATAGAAGCCTATGCAAAAATAAGCCTGCAGTCAAATTACAGGTTTCTAAATCAGGGGTCTCCAGCCCTGGTCCTGGGGATCCCCAGGGTCTAGTGCTCTCCAAGATGATACCCCAGTCAATCTGGGGTCCTGTACACTGCTCAGCGGTACAGCAGCAGGGTCTCCCACCCCAGGGTCGAACCCACGACCCCCCAGTGCCCAACGCAAGAGCGGAGAACAACTAGAGACGCTGAAAACGGGCTGCTGCTCTTTAGAAGATCAACAGCTGCCGTCTAGTGTCTCGTACTGGTATTGCACGCAGGTGCAGAGCACAGTTAACGGACACCGCGAATGTGCGGTTTATCTCGTCCCACACTCGCGCTTATTTGTGTGTACTCGATAGCTGACAAACCAGGTCGTCTCTCCCGGCCGAACTTTTAATAGAATTTATAATGTTTAAAGGGTGCAGAAAAAAAAAGAAATCGGACGAACGGAGCATTCCCTTTAAGAACTCAGTGGGGAGGCGGGACGTCCTTCCAAACGGTGATTGGGCAACCGGCGCGCCGATCGGGTTCCAGACGCAGGCGCGGTTCTCCGCTCTGATTGGTCGAGGCGGCTGTCGCCTGTGACAACCCGGAAGCCCTCCTCGCCGGGCAATGAATGAGAACCGGAAGTGCCTGCGGGTAGCGACGGTGCGAGCGGGGAAGACTCTCGTTGAACCACTGTGAATATATCTAGGTGAGCGGTATCGGTTCGTGGGTTTTATATAAATATATCTATATTTTTTTTAGAAAAACACGTTTCCCGTTAGCCGAAAAGTCAAAACAAGAGCGTCCCGGAAAGCTCTGGGGGGGAGACGAAAATCTCTTCTGTTTTGTGAACTTTAGCCTCGGCTCCTCTCCGTTAATATTTCATTTATTCTCATTTCGATTCGCTGTGCCCCTCCTGCACACAAGTCGCACCCTGCCGTATCCGTGTAGTTGTTTCCTTCCTTTCCGTGCGGCTCATATCGCGATTTCAGTGGCGACAGACCAGTTGTCGCTGCCCGGCTCCCGGGCTGGCGGCTCGGTTCTGACTTGGCGGTCCGGGGCCGGAGAGCGCAGCTCACACCCCGAGACCGCTTTCCGGGGATTTCTCGGGAATCATCTCATGACTTGGCGATGGAGGGGTTGTGATTTTTTACTTCTCCACTTTTCTACACACAGAAAAAACGTGTCACCGTGACGTTTCCCAACCCTAACCGGTACCGGCTCCGTTCTGGCGAGTTCTCGGACGTCCGGACTGGACCCGAACCCGTCTGTCTGGATACGTCCGCCAGTTAGCTCTGCTAGCCGTTGAACAAATCACACCTTCCCTACCCGTCTGGGATATGTGATGCAGACCGCGGAGAAGTCGGCGCTGCGCTCCTGCTGTGTAGCAGGATGATCCAGTCCGGGCTTTGCGCAGGCAGGGCAGCCGCGCAGTGCTGGGTCTACGTAGAGTCTGTCTGCTCATAGTGCGCAGACTTGCCCGTCTTTAAATGCGGCCCTTTCCTACGATGAGTACAACAGGAACGAGTAAGACCTGGAGCGGATCAGATTGCCGTGCAGTGGGAGTGTGATCTGTCTCTCAGGTTAACACTGCAGAAATCACTAACCCCATGTAGGGGTGTTTAAAATACCAGTATCTACAATACTGTTAGGCTTGACCCTTCCAATTAATTTATTTGGGGGCTCCCCAGTCTGGGTCGTGCGGGACTGCTGTGTGGCCTGCAGGTTTTCAGTCCCCTTAACGACCTGCGCCGGCTCATTAACGGCTTTAATTGGACCACTTAAACAGCCGTTCAGGCGCTGCTGTTTCTAAGACAACTGGACCAGGAGTGGGGACCCCTGGCGGACTTTTTAAAAATTGCCCTCTGAGGGCAGTACTGTGTGGCGATCGCGGACTCCCCTGGTGGAGACCCGTCGTGTTCCTGGTTTAGGGCAGCTGCCCGCAGTCCGGGCCGGAGTGTTTGTTTGATAGGGCAGTCCTGCGCCCCCTCCTGGGCGTGTTGGGTGTGTCCCCAAGGCTAGTCGGTTTTATATGGGACTGCAAAGTCCAAAGGCTGTCTTGGCAAGCGTTTGGTGTCGTTTCTGGGGCTCCGCCCAACCCCGTAAAAAACACACCCGCCTACAGACACGGACACGGACACGGACACGGACACGGACACGGACACGGACACACACACACACACACACACACACACACACACACACACACACACACACAGAAACGCACTC